AGTGTGGGAGAGAAACATTGATCTGTTGCCTGTCGAATGCACCCTGACTGTGACTGAACCTGCAACCCAGGCATGTGCCCTGACTGGGAATTGAACTGGTGACCCCTTTCACTTTGCGGGATGATGCCCAACCAACTGAGCCATACCGGTCAGAGCAGAGCAACGTTTTTATTCTGTCATCACTCTGTTGACTTACAATAACTAGAAATTCAACTAAAATAATCTTAATTTAACTATTATATTTAAGACCCTGTGGTGCAGGGAATTAGAAATATGACTGAGATTCTGTTCTTGTCCTTAAGGAATTTCATATCTACAGTAGAGATAAGAAAAGTAACTTATTCTGCTTTAGGTAGGATCAGTGCATTGAAAAATATTAAATGGAGAAGCATTTGCATTTGCTTCTCCAGGGAGAAGCAGGGAGAGCAGGGAGAATCTATGAAGGCTTTAGAGATGTAGCATATGAGAAGATCCCAGAAAAATAATTGAATTTCGACAAGAACAGGAAAGGAGGAAGCTCACAATGGGTAGAAGGAATGTTGGAACAAAGGCGTAGGGACCGAAAAGCATGTGATGCTCTCAGGAAGCCCTCTGATGGGTGGATGTTAGGGAATGTGGATGGAAGGCAGTGTTTTGTGGGCTAATAAAAATGGGTGGTTTATGGTGCAGAACACACTGAATGCTGCTGCAGGGAGTTTTGTCATTGCTTGGTAGGCAGCTCTGAGGATTTAATGGACAGTTATATGAACAGACCTGTACTTCAGGAAGACGAGTCTGGCAAGATTGTGTAGTGTGGATGAAATTGGCGAAAATGGTAGTATTGTGTAGTACAGTTGGGTAAGAAGATTAAGAGCCTTGGGTGAGAAGTATTGAGGTCCTAAAAGGGATAGTGATGGTAGAAATAAGAGATTTTATAGGTAGAAGACATGTAATTTGGATGGATAGAGGAAGCAAGCTGTTTGACTTGTGTGGGAACGGGACAATGGTGAGATCATTAAAAGAGGTGGAAGAGCCTCTGCTGTTCGGGGGAGGCGGAGAGATACCTTGACTTTGGTTGTGTCGGGTTGAATGAAATGCCAGCGGGATAGTTAGAGGAGTCAGACAGTGCATTGGAAAGTAGGTGTACGGCAACATTAGATATTAGAGGTGTTAGTGTTGTGCTTCCTAGTTGCAAATGCATAATGCTTTATATCTAAAACCTAGCTTTGTTGTTTGTTTGCATCTTAGGCAGCAGCATTCAACATTTGGGTAGGTCATGGGTAGAACAGAAAAGAAAGTTTTGTTTTTTCAATTTAAATATCTGTAATATTCAGTGATTATTGATATTTTGGCAAAACTTGTTTCTTCTGTCTTCCCCTAACAAATTACTTAATATCATCTGATACCCAGTCTATGTTCAGACTTCTGTGAATATCTAAAAAATGTCTTTTTACAGATTTTCTTGATTAAAAAATCATTGCATTTGCTTGATAACTAACATGAGTCTCTTTTATTATTACCCCACGCCCCAATTATGCTATTTATTTGAAGAAACTGGGTAACTTGACCTGTAAAGTTTTCCATATTCTGGGTTTGGCTGACCAATTGCATCTTTCAGGTGTCCTTTAAACTGTTTCTTTGCTCCATGTATGTCCTATAGACCGGTAGTTACGTCTGAAGCTTGAGTCTATTCAGTATTTCTTGAGTCTATTCAGTATTTCTTGAGGATAAGAATACTTTAAAAGGCGGTGCTGTGTCTCCTGTTGTAGCACATCAGGAGGCACAAGCTGCCTAGGTGTGCACTTTTAGTAACGTTGGATTCTATTCAGATGTTGTCAGCCTAATCCATACACTGTAATAATCCCACATCAACAAACCTTTCATCTAAGACTCTTTTTAGCAGCTAATGATGATTGTTGCAGAGAGCCTTCATATCGTTAGAGTTGGAAAATAGTTGTATTCTAATTCTGTCATATCTCCTGCATTTATGATTAGCTGAAATTTTTCTGTAAAGAAGAACTTGCCCACATTGACTCTTTAGCTAGTCAGGAATGTAGTTTATACAGGATACACAAATTGGATACGTGCTCAATTTTTTTGTATTATTTGCTGATCTTCAGAATAATGAGTTTTTTTAAAAACTATCGTCATAAACTCATGAATTTATATATTTGATGTCTTTCAACCTATTTGCTGTATGTACGCATGTATGTATGTATGTGTTTTTATATTTTAATTACCCATCTTTGGCTAGTAGGACCCCCTTTAAGTTGGCATTGTGTCCATTTGCCATGAACAATACAAGATAGAATGCAGTCATGTAAAATGATAGCAATGTTCTCAAACTGTGTTTGGGGCAATCAGTGCTCCAGGAAATGCCAGTGATTCCTGGAACATTCAGGTAGTCATTTTGGAAGAGGTAAGACTGGAGCTGGGCTATCAAAGAGAGGAGAAAATGAAAATTCATTTGACTTTTCATTTGAAAATGAAATTGTTAGGAGGTGTGAAAGAACATGGAGGAGAGTAAAGGAGCTTGACTAGAACAAAGTCAAGAATATCTTGACTTTGGTCTTGATTTTGTAAGCACTGGGGAATGAGAGAAAGTTCTTCAATTTGGAAGTGAAATTGAAAGTCATGGTTTGGAAAGGTTAGTATTGCAACAGGGTCAAGCAGTTGCATAACACAGGGTTCTCGGCTGGAGATTTACAACATAATCTTTGGAAAATTAAACAAAGAACCCATACCTGGAGGCTGTCTCAAAACTGTCCAGTACCAGGCTGGGGAGTATAGGCTCATTTGCTTTTCTTTTTTTTTTTATATTACATTTTTTGGGGCAACAGTGGTTAATAGCAACATACAAATTTCAGGTGTATAACTTTATAATACAACATTTATATGTTTTATTGTATGTTCATCACCCAAAGTCTGGTCTCCTTCTATCTCTATATACTTTTCAAAAGGCCATCATATGATTCTGTTTTATCAACCCTAATTGAAGCTAAAAGCTTAAAAATCATTTGAGGTAGTAAGGGCATAGATTGAGATAATGGCAGGGGGAATGAGAGGAAGGAAGAGATAGAAAATGCAAATTTGTTTTTAAAGTTTTCCTATGGCACTTAATAATGTTAACACTAATAAAAGGATTCAAAGAGAAGTAAAAAAGATGACTCTAAGATTTGTGGTATAGGGCCAGTTATAAATACATTGGTGGAAGTTGCTAGTTTGGGGAAGAAAGTAATGGGACATGTAAAGTGTTGAGATGATGGCTTTGTATCAGTGAACTCTAGGGTTGAAAGGTGTTCTTTTTCTGCATGCTTCATTCATTCTCTCTTGGCAAAATGCTGTGCTCACCTGGTGACTGTTCTTTTTCTCATGTGTATTGGTGAGAGGTCATGTGTATTGATTGGGAGGGTTAAAAATGCTAAGCTTTCATTTGATAAATGTGATCACAATAAATGGTGGATATATTTTTAGAAAGCACCATCTGTTTAATGTAAATAAAGTGGGAAAGGGACTAGAAAAATATTGCAGATATAAAGAGATCAATGTCAATAAATATTATAATAATTTGAAACAGAAACAAAAAAATCAGTAAACCAAGCAAAGGACTTGAACAGTTTTTACTATTGAGAAATATGATTTATTAATTTATTCTTTCAGTAAACACTTATTTACTCAGTTCTTTCAGCAGGTATTATTCTACATGCTAGCAAATACGATCTCTGAACATTCTGGTCTGGTCTGGTGTGAGAGAGACAGACAATAGACATGTTTCATAAAATAAGAATTCAAATAATGGTAAGGCTGTTGAGAAAATAAAGAGAGTCGCTTTTGGTTTTTTATTTATTTATGCTTTATTTTGAGGACATTTGTAGTTGTGCAACTGGAGGTTAGCATTCCTAATCTCTGCTTAATTATGTGGGAAATAAATGGTTTAAGTTCTTTATTTTTAGAGAAGATTTTATTTATTTCTTAGATTGATGGTAAAGCGGGGAGAAAGAGAGGGAGAGAAACATTGATGTGTGAGAGAAATAATCGGTTGCCTCTTCACATGCCACCAACTGGGGACCTGGTCTGCAACCCAGGCATGTGCCCTGATTAGGAATTGAACTGACCTTTCGGTTCACAGGCCAATGCTCAATCCACTGAGCCACACCAGCCAGAGCAGATTTAAGTTCTGTTGGGGCTTTCTGATAATTGAACTTAAAAGTATTGTTCTTTTTTTTTTTTTTGGTCTTGAAGATGTTTGTATAATAATAGAGTACAGATTGAGATCTGCTTTTTCTTGTGGAAATTACCTATGTGGGTTCTTTTCATAGAATAGCGTTCATTTTGTTCTATTAGGAGGGAAACTTCCTCAAAAAAATGTTCACATTTTTTCCTTTGGCTTCATTCAGTAGTAAAATGTAGTGATTTGATTCTGCGCTTCAGAGGATGGAACCTGGGTTTCTTGGAATCTTCTCTGATTCTTTGTACAGGATGGTCGCTAGGGTCAAATGAGATGCAAATGACAGGGACCACCCAAGTTAAAGGACTCTCTGAATACTTAGAAGTTAAAGGAGCTAACTAGAACTCTTTATCCTTTACTGTTTAAGAATGTATTGTATAACCGAATGTTTCAACCTATAATTAAAGTATAGAAAGTTTAGTGCACTTCTATAAAGTTGTTTTTGCAGATGTGAATTTACTTGTGTAAGGAACTCTAACAAATAAAAGCTTTGTAATTTTCATCTGTTACTGAGGATTGATTTGGGAAAACAGAGGGCAAGACAAGATAACCTGTTACTTTGCAGTTATATTTTTAATTACTGCGTTGAGACTTTTTATATATGGTAAAGAGGTAATGAAGTAAGAAAACAAATTTCAGTCATAATTTTCTATTTTATAGATTTCCAGGATGGAAAAAATTAGATTTTTAGAAATGAAAGCAGAAATAGTACTAAGATATAAGAGCTCTAATGCTCAAGTTAGCACAAGCTTTCTTTAATTCTGACTACTTTCTGTGGATTTTTTTTTTAAAGGAAACTTGAACATAAATTCAAAAGAAGATTTGATTCTTTCTTTCTGGACTGCGTATATATAACAAGACCATCAGTCAGAATGTCGGGAGCCTCAGTGAAGGTGGCTGTCCGTGTGCGGCCCTTCAATTCTCGAGAGACCAGCAAAGAGTCCAAGTGCATCATTCAGATGCAGGGCAACTCGACTAGTAAGTGCATGTCGTTTTCTATCATTTGGACCTCCCTTTCCCATTTTTCCTCCTTTCCCATTTTTCCTCCTTTCCCTTCTTGCTGTGATCAGAATAAATGAGCATTTGGGGATTACCACGTTGAACTTTGCGATTTTGAACGGCCCATTAAATGCTTCCCGCTGTGATATTTTCTCTACCAAATTTAAATATGGACTGTTTATTTTGTTCTTTACAATTGAGGAATCACTGGAGAACTGAATTAATTAGCTAGTGTAATTAGGTTGAAATCTTAATGGTAATAAAGGTATAAGTAATGATTTTTACTAAGTGCTGACATGAAATATGCCTGTTGAGGTGCCAAGATTATTTTTCTTTTTTGGTTTTAAATAGCATTTGAGCTTACTACGATAGTCTTAAAATGCTTAACAATATTTCTTTGAGTCGAACAATAGATATAGCCTATAATAGATGGCTATAGCTTTATGAAGAAGCAGTGGAATTATAGATTCTTCAGACACAAGTTGATGGTGAGTAGTTGGGGGAAACTGTACCGATCTCATCTGTCTGTGGGCCATTTGCCAGTGTTCTGTATGGAAGACTCTACCGGTGGGCAATAGAGTTATATGCAGGGCAGGACCAAAGTAGGTTTATAGTTGCTTGTGTGGAAACTAAAAATTAGGAAATAAAATGCAAGAATGAAATCTGTTTGTGTGTACTCATAACTGTAAACCTACTTTTGTCCAACCCTATATATTTAAGATATATAATATGGTGTTTTGATACACGTATACATTGTGAAATGATCACCACAACCAAACTAAAATATTCATCACCTCTCATAGTTGCCATTGTATGTGTAAGTGGTGAGAACACTTGAGATCTGTTATAGTCACCATGCTGCACATTAGGTCTTCAGAACTTACCCATTCTATAACTGAAAGTTTATGTCCTTTGATCAATGGCTTCTCCCTCCCGCCCCCTTCCTCAGCTTCTGGTAACCACCATTCTGTGTTACTATGAGCTGGATTTTTTTTTTTGTGATTCCTCATGTATAACTTTCAACTTCTTTCAAAGTTACAAGGGAAGTTGCTTATACACCTCCCTGAACTTGGTAAATAGGACTAGTAACAATCTATCTTTCAAAAAATATTTAGAAGTAGGAGTCTAAACTGGTGATACCGTTGTTTGTAATTTACATTTGTCTGTCAGTTGTGCCAGTGATTCTGTGAATTACATCCTATGAATAATTGTAAAAGAAAAAAGATGTAAAATTTAGTATTGAATTATACACTTTATTTTTCCTTTTTATTGGGGTGACAGTGGTTAACACAATTACACAGGTTTCAGGTGCAAAATTCTGTAATTTAACATCTGTACACTGTATTGTGTATTCACCACCTCAGATCAAGTCTCTGTCCATCACCACTTATACCCCTGACCCTCCTCCACTTTGCCCCACTCCCCTGAATCGTACACTTTAAATGGGTGAACTTCATGGTATATAAATTGTATTTCAGTAAAATTGTTTAAAAGGAAAGTCGATATTGATCATTAGCTCCTTTTTTAAACTTTGAGCTAGGCTTAAAATTGAACTAGAAAACAAACGTTTGTGTTCTTAAATGTCACTCATTTAAGCTATGTTATTGTGCTTTATTTTAAGCATTAAGTTTTTACACTGTCTTTAACTAATCTTTGCACAGGGCCATACAAAGCTTCTCTATATCGTTCCAATTTTAGAATATGTACTATTCAAATGGGCACACTAAATCCTGATTATTGAACCACTTATTTCTCTCTGAAAAAATACATTTAATTATAACATAGTTTGGAGGCATTTTTGGCTATTGGAATTGCCTCTAAATATAATGGTATATATATCACAAGTTTGTTTTTTTAAAAGATTTTATTCATTTATTTTTTTAGAGGGGAAGAGAAGGAGAGAAACATCAATGTATGGTTGCTTTCTGGATGCATCCCCCAGTTCCCAGCTGGGAACTGGCCCCTGCTGGGAATTGGCCTGCAACCCAGGCATGTGCCCTGATTGGGAATAGAACAGCGATCGTCTACTTTGCAGGCCTGTACTCAATCCACTGAGCTACACCAGCCAGGGCTATATCACAAGTTTTTTTTTAAAAGGTGGGTTTTAGGAAATTCTGGATCAGGAGCTAGAATTGATTTAAAAGATTTTAGCCCTGGCTGGTGTTGCTCAGTGGATTGAGCACGGGCCTGTGAACCAAAGGATCACGGTTTGATTCCCAGTCAGGGCACATGCCTGGGTTGCAGGCCAGTTCCCAGCAGGGGATGCACGAGAGGCAACCATACATTGATATTTCTCTTCCTCTCTCCTACCCTTCCCCTCTAAAGATAAATAAATTAAATTAAAAAAAATTATTGATTACTTTTTTTAGAGAGTGGGGAAGGGAAAAAGAAAGAGAGGGAGAGAAAGAAACATCAATGTGAGAGAGAAATATGTATCAGTTGCCTCTCCCTGCAATACCCCACCCCCTACTCCAGGGACCAAACCTGCAACCCAGGCCTGTGCCCTGACTGGGAATTGAAAAGATGACCTTTCCCTTCATGGGATAGTGCCCAAGGAGTTAGAATAAATTAAAAAAAAACAACTGCTCTTCTCTGATATGTTTTGCATGTTGAACTATCCAGGAAAGATCTCCACTGTCAGAGTGGTTTTTCATTAATGGTTGGGGTATCTGTTTCTATTTTCCTTATAGGGTGGAAACTTTTAAGTAGAAATGAGTATTAAAAGGCCATATCCATAAAGCATAAAAATCAATTTACCATATAATAAAAATAGAAAATTCTGTTAGTGTTAAATAATGATGCTAATGTTTTTTCTTGATGACAAATCATTTTAAAATAACGCTATCTTCAGTTGGTTGAAAGATTATATTCACTGTCAGGGTCAAATAACATTATCTTAATTCCCCCTAATTGTGATTTATTTTGTGAATATGTAGTACATTCATTTACATAGTATAAAATTCAGTAGGTACTTGCCCTGACTGGTGTAGCTCAGTGGATTGAGCGATGGCCTGCAAACCAAACAATCGCGGTTCCATTCCCAGTCAGGGCACATGCCTGGGTTGCAGGCCAGTTCCCAGCAAGGGACGCACAAGAGGCAACCATACATTGATATTTCTCTCCCTCACTCCTTCCCTTCCCCTCTAAAGATAAATAAATAAAATCTTTGTAGAAATTCAGTAGGTACAAAGAGTATATGGTACTTCCTCTCACCCTATCACATAATCAACCATTTTCCTCTCTTCAGGAATAACTTATGTGAGATTTCTTCCCAGAGGTAGTTAAGCAGCAACATCTTTTTCTAAGGTTAGTGATACAGTGTAGTAGTAGCTTATTTTACAGTCTTGACTGCACTGAATGTTTTAAATATCTGAATAATACAGTTCACGTTGATAACTTGTAAAATTTGTTTTCTTTGAGATTTTAGCATGAAAGACTATCTATAATAAGTTAATAGGGTTTCTTTATTAGCAAGTGTCTACTTTATACATGTATAATGGTATGCTAAGTACCAAATATACTATGAAAAAAAGTAATCCATTGATTGTCTAAAAGACTATTAGAATATGTAGTAAAATTAAAACGTTTTCTTTAGTTCTGGAAGTTATAAGAAATGGGTGTGAGTTTAGGTCTACTTGACATGCCGGTTTTGCCTTTTTTTAATCAGATGGATTAAAATGCATTAAGAGATTATTGATGCCTAGTTAAAAAAGGTGTTAAAAGTTCATTGCTTTTAAGATACATAGCTTTTTGATCCTATTTTCATTGTATTTGAAATAATGTCACTTGGGACTTCTGGCCAAGGTGGAAGTGTAGGTGGAAATACTGTACCTCCTTGCACAACCAAGTTTAAGGCCAACAAAGATTTAGAAACAAAAATACAACCAAAACAGACAGAAAATTGAACTGTACTGAAGTCTGACAACAAACCATTCATCCAGACTGTTAAGAGGAGTGGAGTTGGTGGCTGGCAGAGAGGGGTTGAGGCAGGGAAAAGCAGTGGCTGCCAGACCGACCCAGGCACTGCAGGCAGCAGTTGGCAGATCCCAGGTGTGGGGTGGCAACAGCAGACCCAGTGAGGGTGCAAGACCGCTGGCTGACCGGGGTCACACATTCGTGCGCAGATAAACCAGGTGAAAAAATGGACAGTGAGACAGACTGAGTAACGCAGGGCCCCAGCGCCAGGAAATAAAGCTTAAAACCACCAACTGGAAAAACTTTCAGGGGCTCAGGTGCCGGGAAAGGCTCCCAGTCTCACAGGAGAGTTTGTTGGAGAGACCCCACATGGTCCTAGAGCATACACAAGACCACCCATCTGGGAACCAGCACCAGAAGGGTCCGATTTGTTTGTGAGAAGTGGCAGAGAGGACCGAAATCCTAGAGAGAGCCGAAGAAGCACCATGGCCCCTCTCTGACCCCACCCCCACATACAGCGTCACAGCCCAGCAACTGCCTTGTTCCACCCTGGTGAACACCTCAGCTTTCACCCCTCATACTTAACAGGTGCAAAAAGACCAAAACATTATGGCTCAGGCAGAAGAACAGCTCAAAGCCCCACAGCCAATACTTGTAAGCAGCAAAGAGATAGCCAACCTATCAGATGCACAGTTCAAAACACTGGTGATCAGGATGCTCACAGAACTGGTTGATTTTAGTCACGAATTAGATGAAAAAATGAAGGCTACACTAAGTGAAATGAAGAAAAATGCACAGGGAACCAATAGTGATGGAAAGAAAACTAGGACTCAAATCAATGGAGTGGACCAGAAGGAAGAAACAACCAAACAGAAAAGGATGAAAAAACAAGAATTCAAAAAAATGAGGGGAGGCTTAGGAACCTCCAGGACATCTTTAAACGTTCCAACATCTGAATTATAGGGGTACCAGAAGGGGAAGAGGAAGAGCAACAAGTGGAAAACTTATTTAAACAAGTAATAATGGAGAACTTCCCTATTCTGGCAAAGGAAATACACTTCTAG